AAATTGTAACCGCTATTGAAGATGTATAAGAATGCTTTAGTATTCACTAATTTTGTGTTTCATTAAAGATGTAATCATTGCTAAATTTATTTCTTTATTATCGTATTTTACTGAAAATAAGCACGTACTGAAAATAAGCACAAATATATTTATCTAAGACCCAAAAATAAGCACATTTGTAAATTTTATTGTAAAAATTTAACCAGACATATTATAAATGCGAAATAATTTTACAAAAAATAAGTTATTATAACTTGTTAAAAGTATTATCATTAAAAACTTTTATCATCAGTTTCACTTGTTACCAATTCCTCAACCTCTGATTCTATTATATTGATTTTCAATTTTATTTCTTCATCAATTCTGATCTATCAGTCTCAATTTCTGATTCTTGCTCATCTACATCAAAATTTACTAATGAATCTGTTATACAACACTTCTTAAAAGATTCAATAATAATTTCATCAGAAATTTTCTCCCATGATTGCTTAACCTAATCACATACATTGCTTATTTTAGCACGCCGAAGGTTTTTGTTAGTAGTATTTCCAGTATTGTCACTTGCTATCTATAGATGCCACTCTTTTAGAGGTTATTCTTAAATGGCTTGTTGATTGCAATATCGAGAAGTTAGCAAATACTTGTTAATCGTCAGAAATCACTGCTAAATAAATGTTACTTTTGCAAAACTTATTTTTGACTGATTCTTTCAGGTTGCCTTTAAATGAGTCGTATACTAGCATTGTTGGATTCCTAAATCTATTATCATTAAAGTAATCAATATAATCCTTCATCAAGTTAACATCCATCTATCTATTCTTTTGAAATTAAACTATTACATCTGAAGGAATTTTTTCTTTTTTATTGCGTGCTAATCTCTTTTCTTTAAATATGCAAATAAGAGGTAATTTTGTTTATCTTATTAAGTAGATTCAAATTTAGTAAGATTAAAAATTACAAAATTTGCAGAAACTACTAAAATATATAAACAAAGACAAAATTTCAAAAACTTACCAGCAGTGCATGTAAGAATAACTGTAAATCAATTTTTTTTATTTTCAGTTCCACGAATATGTACTGTTTTTTCACCTCTTTGATTAACTGTAAAATTACCTGCCATATCAAACCAAACAGGCATTTCATCTATGTTATAAATATCACACATTTCAAAAGACTTTTCTATCTTAAGTTGGATGACAAATCTATTAAAACTCTCTAGCAATTCTTTAGTATATTCTGGGAGTTTCTGAGATATTTTCATGCGTTAACGCAATACCAGCCCATGCCTTTTCAAAAATTTACATAACTAGCTAAGTGACGCTTTAAAATTATTATTGAATTATAAATGGTTGATTCACTTAAAATTTCCTTCATTTTATTTTGTATCATTAAGTAATTTACAACCAATCCTTGCTTCTGTTGTTCAATAATCCAATCATATAAAAGTTTTTCAACTTTGGGATATAAAACCTTTCGACCAGAACCAATTTTCTTTTTTTTGCTATTTGTCTTAGTTGTTCAGGTCTTGCTTGCTCTAATCCAACGTCTGACCATACTAATATTAAAATTAAAGTGGTTTACCGCTGCACGTCTATCATGTTGTTCTGCATAATTAACAGCTTCCTTTTTCTTTTCAATAGAATATGAAGTTCGTCTAATCTTTCTAATAACTCATGTTTTTGTAGCATATTTTTTTTTAACAGGTTTAAAACAGGTTTCGCGTTTTATTAACTGAGATGATATGATGATCATCAGATAAGATTTAGCGCAGCTTTATATAAATTACCTGAAAATAAGCATCTCTATAATAAAAAGGTGTGCTTATTTTCAGTAAAATACGGTATTATCAATATAATTATCAAGGTGATATTGAATTCCATTAAAAACTCGGTGAACTAAAGCTAATGTTGGATAATTTATAGCATATAATAATCGCGTTTCCTTTTCATAGGTTCTAATAGACTATTATTTGATAAATTATTTGTCATTCTTCAGCTGTTAGATAATATTCTTTTAAGTTTTGATAAATTGAAGCTAACATTTGTAAAGGAATTCGAATTTCATGAGATATCATTAACATATAATAAGTTGAGTTCTATCGAACTTTCATATCAATTTCCGGTTTTTTTGTATTCTAAATTATGCATAAAACATAACGCATGCATTTGATCACTAAGTTTGTAGAATTTTTAATTTTATTCATTAAAATGTACAGAAAGACTTATAATATGAGCTGTACAATGATAATATGAGAATGACAAATTTTTAAATGTATCAAATAATTGTGTTGCTAATAATCTTCCACATACTAATATAGCCGATTCATTATCAGTTATAAGAGATATAATCTTTTGTTGTATATTAAATTCATTAAAGAAATTTAATAAAGTATCTGATATATTAATACCAGTATGACGAGTAGTAAATGGAATAATATCTAACATAAAATTTTGGATGTATATCGTGGATCAAAAAAATTAAGCATTTCACGAAAATATTTATTTTCTGTTACGCAAAAAGATTGTTGATCATGTAAAAACTACATTATGATGTTCTTGTTGTTCTATAGTATTATAGGGCTTAATTTGTTTAGATTGTAATTGTTGAGTTTTTAGTTTAACGGTTTCTTATTATGACTTGACTCTATATGTCGTTGTAATGTTGATGTTGCAGATTTTGGACCAAAAATTTTAGGCGTAGGACATAAAAGACAGCATGGATTATTATTACGAATTTCAAAAAATTTCCAAACAGATGAGGTTTGTTGTTTTTTGCGATTTGATTTAATATTATCAGACATGATTATTTACTGAAAAGGGTTGCAGTCTTAAATGGTCTGCATAATTAAATCAAAAGATCACGGTCTTGATAATTGTGATCTGAATTGGTGAAACCCTATCCATCCTCTTCTCTAAAAGCACCGGGATACGATTTTTTATGAACACTTTTTTTTACGCGTTGTGAAACGCGAACTTTGATTATCGAAATTCGATGATCAAAATTAGATCTTATGAATATCACGTGATTCTGTGATTTCTATTTTTAAATTCTGCGACATTATGCGGTGATTAAGACAAATGTTTTAGTTAGATGCATTTAAGGAAAATTCTGCAATGTTCTGCGAATCACCGGAAATCATCGTCTCTGGATTGGACCCATCTCGCAAAAAATTTCTTTGCTCCCGAATAAGTTGTAAACTCGAATCTCTGCTTTCTCAATCCGATTTGTTCAAAGAAGCTAAATGCTTCCTGGGTTTTGCGGAATACTAGCGTACGTGATTCATGTAAAAAATCACGCTCATTTACATAATTCATAATCAGTGTCAAGTTATCAACTTTCAGACATATAGTTATTTTTTTTTCTGGCTTCGAATAAAATGAGAAGGCGGGGAGATAGCAGAAAAAGCTTTCATAGAAAGCAAAAGTAAGATGGAAAATGAAAGAATATATATATAACTTGTATTCCGCCTTAAGCATTCTTTTCGCATATTTTGCCCAGCCTCAAGGCGATTCGCTAAGCCAGAAAAAATGTTTAGTGCCTCACAAAGCGCGCAGATTGATAACTTATATAGTAAAAAAATTTCACGTTATTTGGAAGGCCTAAAAAGCCCAAAATCATACACGGAAAAATATATAAAAAAAAGTCTTAGATAATAATAAATATATTATCAATTGATTTTTTAAACATTTTCGTTCATTTTTACAGTGCGAAATTATCTTTTGTTTATTAATTGTATCAGAAATCCGTAAATCTTTACATTACTAGATCTGTGGAATAAAATTACTGAAAAAAAGTATTTAAAAAAATTTACTTAGTTATCAAAGAAAGCGATCGCCTAAACCAGCGACCATGAAGTGCAATAAAATCAAACGATCAAATCTAGGTAGAATTAACGTATACAGCTAAAAGCATTTATGAACCAAATCTCCTATTTGAATAGGAAGATTTAACCCCTTGAAATTCTCTAATTTTAACCTCTACGTTTCTATCAATATATTTTAGAAGGTTTAGTTGTTGAGCATTCCATTCGGGTAATTTGACAGAACTAGAAATTCTTGTTGATTCAGAATCTTCACTACGTTGTTTTCTGGTTCAAGCAAATCCCAAAACGTATTTCAGTTTACGTTCTCGTTCATTGGCAAGGTTACGTCTTCCGATTCCTTAAAAAGTTAAGATTTCGACTTAAGAATCAAGTAGAACATTAATAGAAGCTTTTTTCAGTATCATTATCCACTGATCGAGTTAGCGCCATTACGGGCATCGTTTTTCTTCGTCCTCCTCGAATGGTTCACCAGCTTCTTAAGTTAACCATTTTTACAGTCCTCTTCCACTTCCTCTTTCATTCCAGGATTAGCAATAATTCCAAAGCCCTTTTGATTGTGAAGATAACGATTTATCTGACATATTCGTTAAAATAATTAAACGAGTTGGTATTAAATAATACGATAAGAGTGAATTATGAATTATGACAAGCCGGTTCACATGATCATGAGTCGCAGTACTTTGTTGTATGATTTTCTCATGATTTTTTTTAACATCAAACTTAATTTAAATTTTTTTATTTAAATTGCTATTTATAAAATAGTTTAGTATTTAGGAAAAAGAATAAAAAAGACTCTTTTTATATATATATAATTATTTATTGGGTAACTTGATTTTACTTGATTTACTTGATTTTACTTAATTTTTGGTTACTCTACCTTAAAATACTATTTATATTATGCATATTTGTTGACAAAATTGACCTAATTTTTCTACCCAAAATAATTTTTTTTTGTTTTCTCCTAACTTGTCTCCGGAAGCTTATAGTCTTTAACTTCATACATTCATTCCGTCCGTTTAACCTCATAGTTTTCAAGAGACGCTTCAACCAATCTAAATTTCTAACTGTTTACAATATATAAAACTGTTAACTTGACCATTTTCCAATTTGTTTCAATCAACTTATAATTCCCAAAAATATACTTGACATATAGTTATGATAATTTTTTGACAGAAGTATGCCTGAGTTGACATCTTCTGTTCAAGTCTTATATCAAACTTCTAGTGAGTATTTTTCTTTTGCAATATTCTATTCACATTCTTTTAAATACTAAAATTACGCTCATCTATTATCTCAACAGCACTCAAAGAAGTCAATCAAAATACTATGGCCGCACCTGTAGGAATTCTACGCAACGTTAGTAATACATGAGTATTTAACTTTTCTCACAATCTTGGCATCTACTTTATTATTTTTTTATTAATATGTTTTTATTTAAATAAATCTGTTTTTAAAAAATCGATAAATCTTTGATTTGGAAATTAACACTTAAAATCCTAGAATAAGCCCTCTACTACATTAGTTGCTCCAATCTCTGATACTTCTGATTCAGAACAAGAATGCTTTAACCAAACCGAATATGGATATGAATATGAAACTGAACCTGAAAAGGATTTGAACCCTCAAGAGGCTAGAGAAACATTACTTCATGAACATGTAATAAAATCCGGATATCTTAATAAAAAGCAAGAAAGACGAAAAGTACGAAAAGGTTTAAAATGTATTATATAGCACACATTATATTTCTGATTAAAATAAATTAATTAACAATATCTTTATTTCAGAATTGGAAACGTAGATGGTTTGTGCTAAGATCGACTAAATTAGCATATTATAAGAGCGATAAGGTATTTTTTTTTTTTTTTTATACATTATTGTAATCATTATTATCGTCATTACTTTCATTTCAATTGAAATATATGATATTATTTAGGAATATGAACTTCTTAAAATTTTGGATATGAACGATGTTCATTCTGCTGCGGAAGTTAAACTTAAGAATAAGTTAAATGTATTTTACATTGTTACATCTAAACGTACATATTACGTTCAGGCTACAAGTAAAAAAGAGCTTGATGAATGGGTGGAAGCAATAAACAAAGTTAAGAAAGTGCAAGAAGAACAACTTTTACATGAGGATACAGGAAGTCAAGCCGATAGTGAAGATATGTCAGAGAAGACTCCTTCCGTGATGCGAATTTCTACTCAGTTGCCTACTCAAAAAGTTAAATCACCTTTGTCCGGGTCAACTTCTCCAGTCTTGAACAATTCCCTAACATCTCCAGAAAAAGCGACAGCTGCTATTGATATTCCTCCGAGAAATCAACTTCAAACTTCTGATTATAACGCAGAAGGAGGTCATTCTTTCGCATCAGCTTCATCATATACCTCAGCAGGATCAATTCCTAATGTGTCTTCTTCCCCTTCAAGTCCAGTTGCGGGACAATATGCAAAAGATAGTAGTGATCCTACGGCTAGTTCTGAAGACGAAGACGCATATGAGGATATGGTCGACGAATTAGATGATGGCCGTATAATTCACAAAGGATTTGTATACAAATTAGATCGATATAAGGTACAGAAAAAAAGAATTTATTTCGAATTATTTATACGTTTATTCTGATTATTGATTTAACATAATATAGAAAATTTGGAAGAAAAGGTGGTTTGTATTGAAGAATGATCGACTGTTCTATTACAAGAACCCTAAGGTAAGCTTATATGTCTCTAGCTAATATTATTTATTATCATTTATATTAATTTATTATTTTTAATAATATATTAGGATCCTAAGCCTCATCAAAATATTAATCTTGCAGACATTCTTGATGTAATTGAAGCAGATCCGATTTCTAAATCTAAACAAAATTGCTTCAAAGTAATCACACCAAAACGTACATATATTTGTTGTGTTAGTAGTGAAGAATCTCAGGTTGCATGGTTGGCAGCCCTTCAAGTAGCTCTTAGTAAGAAAAAGGAAAAACAAAAAGAAACTGAATCGAGCTAAGTTACTTTTTTTTTTCTTCAGTTTTTGAGACTGAAAAAAGGAATTGTATATTGTTTAATATTTCTTTCTTTTATTAATAATTGTATGGATATTTTTGTTTCTTTAAATTTATTCAGTTAATATTTTCTTTTAATAAGATATATACAATAATATATATATTTTTTTTACTAAATTTTTTTTTAATAATTTCCCCGTACCTCTTACCTTTATTTTTTTTTTCATTTGTAATAATTTATTTGGCTTTGCTCTCTAATCCTTTGTTTAAATAGATTTTGTCAAGAAAAATTAATTACTTTCCATTCTTTTTTACTTATATATCATTATTCCTTAAATTTCCTATATATCAATTTTACCTTAATTTCTTTACTCTCTTATTAATATCATTCATTCATTTTTTTTAAAATTTTTTTGATTTTAATAATTATATTTTTTACATAATATTACAATTGCATTGATTGTATTAATCTTTTTTTTTTTTTTTATTACAAAAAAAAAGTGCAAAATTACAGTTTTGGAGGGTTTATTAATTTACTCTTGTATTCATTACCACATTTTTTCTTTAAAATTTGGACTTTTTTACAATTAAAATAATAATAATACGGGGACATTATTTTATTTTATTTTATATAATAAAGAAATTTTTTTTTTAAATGACTGGTAATATTTTTTTCGGTTACAAAATTAATTTTCGTATTTTACATAAGAATTATAATAATATTAATAATTTTCGTTCTTAAGTTCATTAAGATTCACCACATCACTAATTTGTAAAACCTTTCGTTTTGAGTGGAAAGTTATCGAGTCCGATAACACTAGCATAGCGGGACATGTTTAATTTTATCACATTTTGCCGATCAATTTGCTGATCATTTATTCATTTTATCACTTTATCACATATAAAAATGCACCAATCGGAAATCCTACATAATAATATATGAAATTTTTACAATTAGCTGCATTTTAATATAATTAAATAACATTAAATTTTATCGAAAAAATAATTATTATTGGGTAAGTTATACTAGAAGTAATATTTTGCCAAAATTAATATAATTATAATAACATATTGTTTATATTTGAAATATTTAAAAAGTTTTTTCAAAGCTAACTTTTGTGTTGTTTAAAATTATATTGTAATACTTTTATATTATATTCTATAAAACCCAAACTAGGAAATATAATGGTTAGTATAGTTTGCTTATGCATAGCTCTGTTCAAATCTTTGAAGTCAAATAATTAAAAATTTTTAATCACATATGATTAATATATAAAATATTCAAAAAATAGTCTCAAAGCTAACTTTTGTGTTATTTAAAATTTTATTTTAATACTTTTATATCATTTTCTACATAACTTAAATTATGAAATATAATGGTTGTTATAGTTTGCTCTTGTATATGTGATTTTTCCCAAACCTTTGAAATCGAAAATAATTAATTTATTATGTAAATTATTTAATTAATTATTTCAATCCTAAGCTAACTTATGTAAAATACTTTATATTGATTTATTATTTTAAAAATATAATATACATAATCCAAAATATTGAATTTTTTATTTTGTAATGTTTGCTCAATCATATGCTATTTCACCTGAAGCTTTAAATTTTGGATTGACTGAATTTTATATAATGTAATAATTCAATTATATATAATCAGTAAAATGATCAATATGATAATATAAGTATGTTCCTATATAGATTTACTAATTTACCCTTTACGCTATAATTAGCTGTTATAATTAAAATTAGTTAAGGTTAGGATTAAGTGTTAGACAATTTGTTACTAGCATAACACTGATGATATTTCAATTTTTATTATATTTTTAAGGGACTTAGAATTTTTTTGATGAGTGATGTTTATTTATTACGCTATAAGATATTATAAATAAGCATAATTTATTATACTAACCAATCATAGCATAAGAGTAAATTAGTAGACCTGTCCTTATGCTGATAATATTAGATTCTACTATATCTAAATATATTTATAACATCTGAAACATCATGATAAAAATTGTTTAATAAATGTATTTCATTGTTAATTCTCAAAAAAATTCTTAATAATTATTTAAATCATAAAAAACTTGCATTAGAATTACGATTTTAAATCGATAATTATTTCGCTGATTAATTTATCAATAATCATTTTAACGAATAAGTTTATTTTATTTTATTAATAAAGTTTATTATAAAATAATACTTTATATATATATATAAAAATTATGATATATAAATAATAAAAAATAATTAAATTTTTTTATCTTGTAATTTTTTACAAATGAATAATATTATTTATGAAATAATTTCTTCTCTTTAAAATAAAGATAAAATCAATATTAATAGCTATCTTATAAAAGTGTTAACCATTTAATCAATTTGATCAGATAAAAAAATTTTAGTAAAGCCAAATTCTAATATGTAAGAGGTTCCTGAAAACTTATATACAGTCAGACCTCTCTAAATGTACCCCTTCGGGACTGAGTAAAAGAGTGCATTTAGAGAGGGTGTGCATTAATGGAAAATATACATTTTAACAAATTTTTATAATTTAATAACTATAATTTTATTTTATTTATATGTATCAGAGATCTTAC